TCTGGCTATGGTGAACTGGTTTAGCACTTTTATTCTCATGATGCTGTGCAAGTATTTCCAGTTCACTATCTGTTTCTTTCCCCCTAGTGATGTCTCCATATTCTTAGCAACAATTAAGTCATGGACTGCATCTTCATAGTTGCACAGTGCAGCATTCACTTTACCTCTTCTATACCACACCTACAATAAAGAAATGTTACTGCCACCAGAAACTGCTTAGTTTGGTGGAATCAGCACAAAAAACAATCACAAAAGGAAAGGAAAGACTGGTATATGCAACATTGAGACAAAAAGAAAGCTACATCCGTAACAAGAAGATAGAGATATTTCCATATAATAGGGCATATATATAAATTCTGTGTCTCAAATCACATAACTACACAAGCTGAGCTCAATTGGACAAACCCTCCTACAAAGACATTACAATCTTGTGTTAATTTACTCCTCAACCATATTTTTTTCTTTAAAAAATTAATAGCCCATTTTTCACAATTTGATATAGACAGTATCGACGATCTTCCTTCACTGTGAAAAACATTTTCTCCATTTCGAACGCTGGCTCTCTCTACCGTCTGCTTCACTTCACAGCTTTATATCTTCCTTTTCTTTTTGCCTCCACTGTGATTTACTAGTGTTCTCTCGATAAACTCAAAGGGTCCAATCCTGTTATTGGTCCATGTATTATATATAAGTTTCGAATCTAGTCCATTTAATTTTTTTTCATTGAAATAGTTGGTTAATTTTTTTTCCTCCAGTTCCAATGTTTCGTCTTAACTAATATGGATCGACTCAGTTTGCACACCTGACTTTGGTGGGTAAGTCTCCTAGCGGGAATTTTCTGCATACACAATGACTCAAATTTGAGACCTTACTTAAGCGATATCAAATTATTTATCACTTGAACTAACTCATGTTAGGTACAACTAACTATTGTTAATATTAAACAAAAGAAATATAACGAGCTGTAAAAATAAAAATATTTATTATAATACTCTAATAAAAAATATATCATTTTTCTATTCATTTTCTATTTCGAATAATTAAATGAATCAAAAATATATTACACGAAAAAGTAAAAAAAAAAAAGCAATGATAATTTAAGTCTAAAACAAACAATAGTAAATTTAACAAACAGTTTTTTTATTTAACCATTAATATTTAATTTATTAATTGATTAATCTAAAATAACTCTCGCAGCTCATTATAAGAATAATTCTCTCGATCGAATTTACTTTGTTCATAACACTAAAATCAAGTTTTTTTGTTTAAAAAATCTAATACCTCGTCTCAATTAAACCACTCGATTATTAGTTAATAAATGATTTTTTAACTACTCAATTTGTTGTAGTATTAGAGTATTCATTTTGTTCTCTCCATAGAGGCTCTGAGTTCGAACTGAATTTGACACTATTTACAATATCAAAAGGTTAAGAAAAATTTAAACATATAATATTGTGTAATCACCGCTTCAATTTTAAATTTTGTCAAAACATCATTAAACATCACCGCTTCAATTTTCTTTTCCCAAAGCTTCCATGAACTGAAACAAGATCTTAGCCGAGAGCTGTATATAGGACTCCAAAGTACCAAGGCTTGAAACTTTTGAATTTTGCTATAATGTGCGCCCAAAATAAAGAAAATCAATAAGAGAGATAATGAATGATTAACAGGTAACAAAGTGTTTAGCATCACGGAGATAATGCACTGGTATCTACGTTAATACTCCACCTACAGAGAGATGATCCTTCGTAGCGTACATGCAAAAGAATACAACAATATGAGAAATGCAGAGGAAATTTTTGCTCCAACAAAGTTTATGTAGCCTAATATCGAGACAGCGGACATCGATAACCTCGACTCTTTATAAACATCCTAGCTTTACAGAAGCGTCTCTAACTTGGTTTACCACCCCTAAATGCTGAAAGGGAGAAGAATGACCTCGTCCCTGAAAAAATGGCAAACAATGGATTGCAATTCGACCATCACAGTGAACAAATAGGAAACTGCAAGAGAGAAAAGAATACGGAAATTGACCTTTAGTAGTTGAGGCTGTTGCAGAGACGCTGACATGCTGCATTTTGCGAGCATCAAACATTCTGATACCTGATTGAGCTGCATACACAAAATCCACAATACTTTCATAATGAGATTTGTTTGAAAATATTTTGGTATTTGCCAGAAAGTTGAGCAAAGAAGAGAAAGAAGCATTAAAATAATTTTCATATGTGCTTTTGACCTACAACCATCTAGATTCTGTAACAGTTTGACACAAAGCATTTATGATTAAGGGAAAATATACCAGATCGAAGCCCGTGAGAACTCAAATTATGGTCAAAGCCATCAGACAGCAATGTATTTTCTGGCCCATGGTCCTTTATGTTAAGGGCAACCTTTCGCATTAGGTTATCAGAATTTCTCTTATTAGTAACTTTTGATTCTTTTGTGTCCTCCTCTCCTTCAGAAAAGACTGATGGGCTAGACCAGCTAGTTATATTTGCATCCCCTTTACTCTTCCGAGCAAATTTTAACAGCTTCTTTAATCCATTGGGTGCATCTTTTTGGTAAACCATTGCAGGCAGACTTTCAGCATTTCCCCATTCAGTAATGTAACCTTCGCTGCTTTCTTCTTGCAGCATCTGTGACAGTGAGTGTCGCACCCGTGGACTTGTTGATTCAACAGGTGCTATGTCAGCTGAAGATGTAATTTCAGCCGTTTTGTCATCACATACGTTAGGCAGGTTCTGGTGCTCTTCTTTTTCCACCCAAGCAGTTGGTAAGATGGTTGATTCTTCCTCACATTGGGAAGACCCGACAATAGTTTTTAAGCCGGCATCAAGACCAGCAGCAAGTTCATTAGCACTCTCAACGACATCACCATTCTGATGGCTATTCAACTGTGTTTCTGATTGAGTAGTATCATCACAATGATCCAGCGAAGAAACATCCTGATCCTGATGCTCACTCACCAAGATAGAAGCATTAGCAATCACATCACTCTCTTGAGGATCAATAGAATTTTCAGTGATCTTCAAAGAGTTCTCCAACTGAGAAGGATTTTGTCTTGTTAACACGACCACTAGACGTTAATCCCGAACCTTCACGGAGAGATGGCTTTGATTCCAACGGAACGACACTACTTTTCTTCGTAACCTTGTTATACAAACTAGGCTTTGCCGGATACATATTGGAAGAGTCCCAAGGTGCCGCTGCTGTTTTTGTTTTTGTTTTGCTGCTTTTCATCAATTTTTGTTCCAGCTTCTCATTCTCGGCTGCCTTTGGATTTCTTCGTTGTGGCCGGGAATTTTCCACTTTAGGACTCGGTTGAGCTACTGCTTTTTCTGATTGAGGCTTCCGACGTGTTGATGTTGTGCCAGAAGAAGAAATTGCTCCTGGAATTTTAACCAGTGATGGTGCTGAAGGCCATGAGCCCATGACTTACGAATAGCAGGCAAGAGGGATGTTCTAGCTGAAACCTTCTTTTGAGCTGTAAGTTTATCGGTTTCCTTCCTTGTATTAGCAGGCTGTGAAGTATTCTTCAGTAACTTTTGGGAATTCTTAACAGTTATTTGGGACTTCGTTGGAGGACCATTTTTGTGAATACTATTCACATTGGTGGAAACCATTCTAGCTTTCCTCTCATCAAGATTTTTTAGCATTGCTTTCAACTTGGCTTCTTTTTCTGCATGATTTCCAACATTCTATCCTCTAAGTTTTTGATCCCTCTTCTCCTTGTAATGGTGATAAAATCCACCTCTCTGCTCTGGAGGCAGATTTTGTCCATTTTCTATTTGAGGCTTCTTATGGCTAACGAGTTGATTTTCCGACATTTTTTCGCACATTTGGTTCAACTCCACTTCCTTCTGTTGACACCATTCAACTGTGCTTTTTGACGTTTCATTATCTTCTTCTTCATGTAAAATATCTGTGACCTCTTGAATATTTATATGACTACAAGAGCTCTCTTCCAGCCTTTCTAACCCCACGTCAATAGTTTTCTTGATGTTTACCGCTTCAGTACTAGGATCAGATTCCAAATTAACTTCTGCAGATCTCTCCGTAATATCATTATCAATGTCATTATGGGAAGGCTCTGAAACAGGATGATCTTGAGAACCATTCTGTGATTGGGATTGGACAGCTGATTCACCCATACTTGCACTCCATCTTCTCAATGCAGGCTTTCTTGGACCAAGAGAAACATTTGCTAATGAGTTCCTTTTTGGAACATCAGCAATCTGATCCCTTTGTTTACTTTCAAAAAGACTTATTTTATCTTGGACACTCATGCGCTGAATATTATTCTCAGGTTTCTTAATGTGTTGGGATACTTCCTCTTCGCTATCATCTGAAGCTACATCTCTTTGAAATGATATCTTTTCTCTATCAGGAAAGTAACCAAGGCTCTTTATGGTCAGAGCAGGGGCTCTACGTCAGCCAGTCCTCCCAATTTGAACCCTTCTCATTGGAGATGCTGACCGTCTTGGAGATGCAGATCTTATAAGAGCTAAACTTCTTTCTGCAGATATTAGATTCTCCTCACTTGAGTCAGAAGATTCCTCACTTTCTGTTGAGCTTTGATGTTCAACCTGCGCAGCTTTCGCTGTTGAAACACTATATTTAACGGGTGTTTCAGAACTTACTGGCTTTGAAGTTTTATTATTTCCATCAGTCTTGTTTATGCTGCCAGTAACTGAAGTACGAGTGCATGAAAAGCTTTCATCGTTATGAGGGTTAGCAATTTCGCACTTTTCTCTTAGCTCTAGAAACATGCACAAAAATTTCCTGCAGTAGATATTAACAAGATCATTGGCTGCTTATAATTCAACTCAAAAACTGTTACAAAAATTTTGAGATGTAAAAGAAGATTGCAATTGCAAATTCTTTGGGCAAATCAAATCCAAAGGATCGATGCACTTTTCTTTTGGAAGGCAACTTACTTTACATCACTAGCTCTAAAATTTTCCGGAAACTTCACCAGATGAGTGATTTCTTCATAGGACCAGGTTTCTCCAACTGCCTGGTTAAAAGCTAAACTAACTTACTTCTTAATGATGTAAACCTCGAGCCCATATCACGTAAGAGCTCATTCCTAGCAAAGGTTTCCAAAGGTTGGTTGAATTTGCAGGAGAACGAGAAGACTAAAACACATTAACTAACAAAATATTACATTATATTTATTAATGGAGTGAAGAACATACTTTGATGTTTCTAATGATGAACTCTGGACTCCAAACTGCTGAGATTTACCATTTTCGCTACTTTGATTATGATCTTGGTGACCCTGAGAGAACGAAAGTTTAGCAAGTGAGATCTCCAACATAAACAACAAATCCAAACACATTAGGACACAGGATACTTACCTGAGCACATACTGAAAGATGAAATCTTTTAGCTTCCTCCAATTGAGACATCTCAGCTTCAATAACTTTAGCAGTATCCAATAAATCAGTAGAACCCACAATATCTAAGTATCTGAGAAAGCAAAAACGGGTGAATACAAAGTAGGAAGGAACCCCATTGCTTTCCCAGTAACATACAGAGTAAATTAAGAAACAGAACCTGGAGAAAGTAGATAGAGTAAACCATGCGGGAGATTTGAGATTGCTGGGGGGTTGTAGTTTGTAATTAGCGGCATTGGAATTTGAATTGGAAATAGATCCGCGGGTGTACAAGTTGTTTAACTCGGGCAAATGAGGCAAGAGTTTTTGAAGAACCCCAACACTCGGTTTCTCTACATTTTTACCACGACATGTATATGCTCGTACATTGAAACAAACAGTAGAGAAAATAATTGAGAATTTGCACAAACTTGCAGAAAAAACTAAAGAGAAATGAGAATGAACCTGTTTTGAGAAGGCATAATCTGAATGATTGCGTAATCTAAAATCGCATCTCCTCCGTCCATCTCTTCTGGGTTCTTCTTCTTCCCGTTGTTCATCTAACAATTCAGGGAAAAAAAGAGTAGGGATTGAAACTTAGCTTAAGGTTAAATCCAGGATCTGAAGAGATGCGAAGATCAAAAGAATGTGCATTCATTCACACTTTACCTTTTTTACAACTTCTTGTGCAGTGGAAAATGGAATTTCCATAAAAACAAAAGTCCAGCATTTGATTTGTGAGAGACAGAGAGTAGAGAGAGTAGTGGTGAAAGTGGAATGTTGAAGCTACTTTAAAGCAAAAACAAACACATCGCCATTTCTAGCTTAAGAACGGAGCTTATTGAATACACTTTTTTTAAAAACTTCAAATTCCATTATGATTACTTACAACCGCTTGAAGAAAAAGAAGAGGTGAAGGACCACGTGATCCATACCAAACAATCACCAAGGTAATAATTGATCCATGATATCATAATCTACTCTCCAGATCTCTTCTGTTGCGCACCATCACCGACAAGCATTTCTTATGTATTTAGATTTCATTACAAGTTATTATTTAGTATTTAATACTTTATATCACATTTATATTTACACAATAAAGAGGAAAAGAATGTTCCATTCCTCTTTCCTTGCCCCATAAGCACAGCTCACACTCAAACTGATTTCACCACTCATAAACACCATAACTAAAAACATAAATTACTTTCTTCGCTTCTTCTTGTGTAGGGTGATGAATCGGCTAGACAACACCAATATATTAGTATCAAGTTAACACGAATGTAACAAAGAATTTGGAAGAAATATTAATGATTTGTGGAAACGTGATTAGAGAAATTACACGTCAATTTTATCGAAGAGTTGTACGTTTTTTATATAATCTTAAAGATACAACTTTAAATCTTATAGACATTGTGAGTTGATAATTGCTAGAACCATCGAAGCATACGAGTATTTATACAATCTTAAAGGCAAAACTTCACTGCATAAACGAAAATTCTATGTTGAAGGTGTGAAAAAAACATCGAGTTTTAGTATAAATCAATAATTTAAACATTATACAACTTGAATCTTTATAACACGCTTCGAATCATACGAGTCACAATTAGAAGGTTAACATTCCATTATCGTCGACTCAAACTCAAATTCAATTTTTTTATAATCAATTTAATCAAATTAATAGAATATATTCAAAATATTTAGTTTTTATCTCAAATGGAAATTTAATTTTATGAGTAAAACCACCCATTCATCATTTGTGTTGCTCTACATGCGGGTACTTGCCTAACTTCTAATCCAAGTTCACATTATCATGGACTAACCAAACAACTTCAATAATTAAAGAAATTGTTATTATTTCTAGAAGTCTTAAGTTAGAGCATGATGTTTAAGCTTTTAATATTAAATAATTAAAAAAAATTCAAACAAATATTATTTTATAATCACTCATATTAAATAAAAAAAATGTTTGCATTATTATTACTCCATTATTTCATATTTCATTCAAGCACACAACCCTGAGATTTCCCTTTCACTCCACCATCCCTTATTCGCGACACAAACACACGCTTCACACATGATAAGATCGTTTAGACCACAAACTAAATGAATTTCTGATACAATAACGGTTAATAACGGTACAGTTCCGTGAAAATCACAAAACCACCCCCCGCAAAAAAATTCACAAACAACTCAACTAATATTACATTAAGAAAATCCTAATCAAAATCAAATCATTAGTTAGACCACACATGAACTAAACCGAGCCTATTACCCGTATAAATCTCATTGCGGTCTTCGTCATAGAAAAGAGCAGTGATATCTTCTAATGCTTCTGCAACCGTGCTTCTAATTCTCGACGTGGTGCTCTGTGTTTTCGAACTGCAACTACATTTGCCACTGCAGCTGCATTGTTTGTCCACAGGGAAATTGTTGCCTGCCCTTATTTTAGCAAGACATTTCCCAGTCAATATATTGCTGATATTAATGGAGCCTGTCACAACAGGGATGTACCAAATTCATTAACCGCACACAGAAAGGTGAAACAAATACAAAAAGATGCAGGAAACAAAGATAATTAAAATGAACAACAAATTATCCTGCTTTACAAACATGCCAAGCGTTTAAACGTGAGTTTTAGGGTTGTATTTCGAAGAAAGTAAGTAGTTTAAAGAAAATACTAACCGTTTCCTTCAGATAATGGATCATCAGAGTCAGCCTTGCAGTATGAGATAATGAGGTCTTGATCACTTGTGATGTATATATTATTAGTGTTGCAGTCAGGATGCCACAAAAGGTGATCCTCAAATGAGGTTACAAGTTCTCCACGGAAATTCCACACAGCCACTGTCCGATTTCTAAATGTAAGGAATAACTGGTTCTCATACAGAAAAATAAATGCTGATGGGGTCGAAAATTCATTTTTGCTAACTTCTGTTAGCTCAGAATTGCGGACCTGCACAATTACAGTGTAGATTCTTTTAGCTTCCAAACTTTCTACTTTTGGAATGGAATAAATGAATATTCACAAAGATGCCTTACATCAAGAATCTGGAGGTTTTCATTTTCCTGCTTCACAAGAAGCTTTTCATTGAACTGTTCAATGAAATCAACCTTCTTATTCCGGTGAAGAAGATGACTAAAAGATTTGAGAACAGTACCATCCTCTATTGAAAGAATCTTAAGAGGAACATGGCCACCAACTTTAGCGAAAATCAATAACATGATCCCTGGACTGTCAAAAATAAATGATGGAAACAAAGTCAATTACGTAACGAGACACCATAAAAGCAAACAGGGCACCATTTGATTGTTACTCCCGGTACTTATTCTTTTATCTCCAGTAAAAAGGCAAAAGTTTGTTTAGACTAAATAATACTTATAGTTTAGAAAAATAGTAAATTTTTACAAGAATAAAATGCATAATGTATACAACAGTTAAGCAACAATCAAGAGGAGCCTAAATTATTATCAACTATCAATACGTAAAGAAGATTTTTTAATAAAATAAAACGTACAGAAGAATAAGAAAAGCATAAAGGTTCCCTTTTATCATCAATGAATGAATCTTTATTCTTGCAGGAAGAAGACATAACAATCGTGAAAGGAGTATTACCTGATTTTAATCTCTTGCACATTTCTATCCGATATGGAGTATAACATTGTATAATTTTTTAGGTCAAACACCTTGTATATGCTGATTACAAAACAAAACAATATATATCAAATAAGAAATCTAGTTAAGGAACCAATTGAGTTTAGCACAAAAGGACATTCAGTAGGTGAGTAATTACCTATCCTGAGCGGAATAGGTGAGCACCTTCCCATTTACATCATCAAACTCAACAAAACCAGGCCACTTCAGTGACTCGGATTCAAAAAGAGCAAAACCAGCATCAGGTTGACCTCTCCGTAGATATCTGTCCATCAAACAGAATAGTTTAAGAGTGGAAACGTGCCCAAAAGCAGTAATTCATGTTTTACTTTGATATTTCCCCCCATTTATCTTTTCAGATCAAATTGGAATAAGACAATTGTTCTAAAGAGGTTTAAAAGGATAGACATACTCAATCCTTGTGCTTCTGCATTTCAAAGAGCTGAAATTGTCTGATGCATAAACAGAGACTGTGATGAGCGAGTCATTGTTTTTATTGTAAAACAAGCTTCGTATAACTTCATCAGCAGTGACATTTAGAAAGCATATTCTTTTATTAGTTTCTGCATCCACAAACAATAGATAACAATACCCCCAATTTAATTCTTGATGCAAATAGAAACAAAAAAAGGCAATCAAAAACAAGTTTAGAAGGTAAAACATGGTTCCCACCTCGGCTAAATGCTGCACATATACCAGATTGGGCAAGAGCAAAGACAATGTCTCGTGCAGCTACAATCTCTATAATCTTTGACCTCTTCCTCAGAAATGATAATACCATCGAACAATGTCCTTTTGGATCATGAGTATCATATTCCTCCTATGTATATACATGCAACATATCACCAACATGAATTTAGTAAGCAAGCTCAATAATAACAGCAATGCAAAGTAAGCCCTGCGGCTACACTAGTAACAAATCACCTATTGACTTCCAAATTTATCCTTTTGCTTGATAGACTTCAATCAAAACAAAAGGAAATAAATGCCCTTATCTACCTTACTACTTAATGTAGAAATAAATACAAAGATCACTGTTAAAAAAGATGAACTGGACTAAATAGCAGGAATGTATCATGATTATCTGAACACCAGCAAATAGAAAAAAAGAATCTAAGTTTAAATGTCAACCTATGCATTTGAGCTTATATTTCTTACTCGAATTTCTCAAACAAGCTTTATCATATAAGGAAATAAATAAAATCGACATCCGGAATCTTTGGAACAAAATTCCACCATTTCAAACTTTTTCTTTCGCTATTAATCATATTCAAAAAATTAAACAGCCATAAATATAAAGATCAATAAATTTTTAAAAATGATAAAACTGAATCAGGTTTGTAGCAATAGTAAGATAACATGGAAAGGGTGGATGCAACTGTAGCTATTAAAAAGAGATTGTGTATCAAACTAATTTGAACCCCATTGATTCAAAACTAGAGCTTCCTTTATTTCTACCATAAATTTGCAAGTGTGGCTAAAATGGTCAATTTTTTGGATTGTTATCAAGAAAGCGTGAGAACCTCGACCTAGTTCTTATATCCGAACGCAGAGTTCTCATGTAAATTGAACAGAAAAAGAAAAAAAATCAAAGTTTTAATAGCAATACCAGCACATAAAGAATAAGATTTGTGCAATAATGAATAATTAGAGTAGGGTTAGGTAAATTAAGTAAAAGAAAGAACCTGCAAGCGAATGTTGCGGAAGCGCTCCTGGGCGTCGATGATGGAGAGCGCACGGTGTCGCTTGGAGCAAATTTCTCTTCGCTGAAGCTTCTTGACGCTGTTAACAAAGCCATCCGCCCTCCCTCTCTTCTTCGATGCGACTATTCTCCGTCCACAGCAAGGCCTTGGGCTTACCGCTAATCTCCGCCCACCATCCATAACTCTTTGGTTTCCTCCTTCGAATCTAACTAAGGTCTTCGCAAAACCCTAAGTCCGAAAATACCCGATAGCCGCTGCTGGTGATGGTGGTGGTGGTTGCGCTGGGACTGCAGCTCCCATAAAATTAACAGCCCTCCTACTCCTAAATCCTCCAGTTCTAGGGTTTTGCTAAGTAATACTGTGCTGCCCAAACAATTATCTACCAGAATACTGTCTACTCCCTAGCAGAAGATGAAGATTATTCATTTGTTATATTTTCTTCCTCCTTTCTTCTTTCCGTCTA